GAAGGCGAAAATGACGACTACGTATCACACAGAATATCATACCATATCAGAATATCTACCACACTGAATATCATTATTAAGTGACATTTTTTATTGACAAAATCTATAAATAATGTAAATAATAGCTAGTTTTTATCAAAAAAACTGATTTCTGAAGCTAAGAATCGTTTAAAAACATGATAATTTAATTTTAAAAAAAAGTTTGCGAAAATCGCAATTTTAGGCCCGCACAGGGGTGAAAAAATGGCCCGCAGCGAAAGGGTTAAAGCAAGCAAGGCTAGTGGTCTTGACAATATCTCCGCATATGTTGAAGGATGCTGCGGTGGTTGTTGCCAAGCCGCTGACTCAAAGTGTAAATGAATCATTATCATAGGGAACAGTACGGAGTGAGTTGAGGTCCACAAAAGTAACCCCACTGTATAAGAAAGGAATGCCTACCAATATGGAAAATTACCGTCCAATTTTGGCTTTACCAATCATGTCCAAAGTGCTGGGGAGGGTTGTACAACACCAATGACACAGCTTTCTAAGCAAACATAACCTGCTCAGCCCTTTCCAGTGTAGCTTTAGAAGGAACCATTCCACTGAATTTGCCGCTATTGCTTTTTCAGACAACATTTGGTGTGGTATGGACCAGCGATTGCTGAGTGGGGCGGTATTTATTGATTTGTGCAAGGCATTTGACTCTGTTGATCATGGAATACTTATCAGCAACCTACAGCCATATGGAGTTAAGGGCGTTGAGTTAGACTGCTTCTGAAACTATCTGACAGACCGAAAACAACTCATAAGTTTTGGTAAAGTGATCTCTGAAGTTTTGGTAAAGTGATCTCTTGGGTGTCCCGCAAGGGTCATTTCTTGGCCCTTTACTCTTTGTCCTCTTTGTCAATGATCTGCCTATAGTTATAGAACGATGCCAGATTCTGATGTACGCTTATGTACTTCACCGCTAGTAATGCCCTAGAACTAAGTAGTACACTTGCCAGTGAACTTCCTAAGGTTTCTTTCGTTATAGGCGTGAAGGAGTGGATTTGTACCTGCATGCCAAGAAACCCCACTGGTGAGCAATTCCTGTTGGTTTGGGTCTCCTTTGTGCTCATCTTACTGAGTCAGTGAAAAAAGCATTGCAGCGGCAAAGTAATGATGTAGCTGTTATAGAGCGTTGAAGCCCTGACATCATGTTTACACCGTTGCTTTTCTGCTGGACCTAAACAAATTGACATGTGTTTAACATGGCGGCATTGTTGATAACATATTTTGCAAAATACTTCTCAGATGAGCCTAAATCTTTAAACCATGGCGAAAACCATTACCAATCTGGACACTTTCTATCTTTTTGCTATTGTGATGGAATTATTAGAGGGTCAGTACAAGCAAGCATGAAAAGTATGACGTATAACGTCACGGTAAGTGTAAAATTTCTATTGCTCGATGTCTGTCGGTTAACATCGCCAAACCAAAACTTATTTTAATTTAGCGACTTCAAATCTTCGTTTAGGAAATCTTGAAAAGTAAGCTTATAGTTCTTTTTCTCTTTCCTTCGCAGATACATCTTCAAAGAAACAAAATACATGCGACAGAATGCGAGTGCCCTTGTGGCAGTTCAAAGTGTAGCTCTGTTCCTTCGTGGCTTCAACAACTTAAGCAGAACCGACATTGAATGTCAGTGGAACAAACGAAAAGGCACCGGAGGTGGTGAAAACGGTACAAGATCTGTATCCACCCAAAGAAACTAAAGTCCTAAAACGAAAAACTACAGATGAGGACAGAGAATGACTGCGGAACAAGCTGAAGAGATAAGGTGAGTTCACAGGAATGTTATGGCTTTTGAGCCCCGAACCTGACAAAGAGAATCGTCTGCCGATCTCCACAGTCGAAGAAATCATTTTATCGAGAGAGTTTGTTGAAAGCGGACTTGATACAAATTTCTTGTTGGAAAAATTAAAAGTGAGCGATCAGCAAGTGAAATCAGTCTGTGAGATCACGCAAGAGCAACATGAATGTGGAGAGTGGCATGTGGTGAGAAATGGACGTTTCACTGCTAGCAATTTTGGTCCAGTTCTTTAAGCAAAAAGAATCAGTCCCTCCCCTATCAAGTTGGCTCTTGGAGAATATGACACCTCTCGAGTGCAGGCTGTTCGATGGGGTGTCATCAACAAGAAAGAGGGAATAAAGGCCTTCACCAAATTAACAATAAAATTAGTAAAGGATTGTCGCCTTTGGCTACACAACTCTGGTGTTTTGGGTGCATCACCAGATGGACTTGTTGATGACAATGCGCTCACGGAAGTCAAATGCTCTTACACACATCGCAATTCAACAGTCGAGGAGGCTGTTAAAGACCCTAAGTTCTGTTTAAAAGAAAAGGGAGATGCTGGCTATTGTTTAAAACAATCCCACCACTACTGGCATCAAGTCCAGGGTCAGCTGTTTATAACTGGGAAGCAAATCTGTTACTTTGTGGTTTGGACAACAATGGAAACTGTTGTGTTGGCAATCCAGAAAGACTGCACATGGGAACCAAATCTTCTTTCATGTCAAAAATTTTATACAACTCATATGTTTCCTGCACTTGTTGATGGTGGTCTTTAAATTGTAAGACTTTGTTGTAAAATTAAAATAGTTTTTCATGAAGTAATAGATTTGATGATACATACTTTTAGACATCATTTTTTAAATATTGTTTTATTTGCTAAAATCATTGCAAATTTAACAACAACAAATATGTAGTAATTGAAGGGTGTATATAAAATAAAACTGTTTATGTTAATCTTAACCTTTTCACCCCAAAGCACGCATATAAGCGCGCTCCCAAATAAGGTGTACGTTTAATAAGACCCTAAAAGGCCCATCAGGGCTCTTTTAGTACCCAGACCCCCATCAAATTCTCCATAAACACTGTGTTTCAATGTGGCGGCGATTTGAAGCGAATTTCCTACTTTTCATCGTGCTTTTTTAAACTTTTCCAAGGCAACTTTTAAATTTGTTTTTCTGGGGATTTAAAAATGGCCTCCAGGTACACAAGTCTTGACGAAATTCATGGTATTATCTTCGATGCTCCTGATGATAGCGATGATTCAATTCATAGCTGGGATGAGGATAGCAATGAAGAAATTTCTGACCCACACGAGGCTGAAGATGTTCAGAATCAAAACTTACAACGTGATTTTGGCAATGAGGAGATGCATTCCACTTCTGAAATTCGTGTTCCAACACAAAATCGAAATAGAAGTTCAGGAAAACGCCAAACAGTTCCAGAAATTAACTGGGGAGATTTGGATGAAGTTGTGAATGTTGCCTACCCAGAATTTTCAGGACCACAACATGGACCTGTACACAGCTTTGATGTGGATTCAGAGCCTGTTGTCTTCTTTGATCAACTGTTTACGGATGAGCTTTGGGACCTACTTGTCACTAAAACAAACAGGTATGCTAGACAGGCCAATGTGAATAATTGGGTAGACACTACCCAGGAGGAAATCAGGTGTTTTATTGGATTTCTATTTGGAACTTCAATAAATAAAAATAGTCAGCTTGATGATATTTGGAGCTCAGACTGGGTGGTTGCCAGTCCAGCATTTGCCCACTTTTTTACTCGAGATAGATTTTGGGCCTTGCTTTCAAACATCCATCTTGCAGACAATGAAAAATCTGTTGACAGAAATCATCAGGACTATGATAAACTCTACAAAATACGCCCTATGGTGACAATTTTGAAACAATCATTTCAAACTAACTACAGCTTGGGGCAAAATGTAAGCGTGGATGAAGCTGTGGTCAAGGGAAAGGGCCGTAATCCAGTCAAGCAGTACATGCCAATGAAACCCAAAAAGCGGGGATCGAAACTATGGTGCATTGGTTGTTCTTGTTGTGCACATTTATGGGACTTTCAACTTTATGCGGGTAAAGAAAAGGGCACTGCAGAGCAAGGTTAGTCTTCTCGTGTGGTTTGTGATCTTTGCCATGCCACCCTGGATAACTGTGGTCATGTGATCTACATGGACAACTTTTTTACCAGCATTGCCCTTTGCAAAACACTGAAAGGCTTTGGAACTTACACTGTGGGAACTCTACGTTCAAATAGATTGGGATATCCAAAATGCCTCACAGATAAATCTTTGCTCAAGACAATGAAACAGGGAGACCATCACTCCACAACTACTGAAGGGATAACAGAAACTGTCTGGAAGGACACAAAAGATGTTTCCTTTCTGTCAAATGTGCATTCTTCTATGGGACAGGATAATGTGTCAAGAAAGAAACAAGGTGGATCAGTTGTTGCAATAACTGCTCCCACTGTTGTAAAGGATTACAACAAGAATATGGGTGCTATCGACAAAAATGATCAACTAAAGAAAACATATGCCATTGATCGCAAATCAAAGAAATGGTGGATGAGCATATTTTTCCATCTTTTAGATGTTTGCAGACTCAATTCATTTATTATGCATCAGCAGTGTTATCTGAGTTGGAACAGTGGCCCTGTGGAGGAGGATGTAGCCCCTAGGATGGACCAGAAGTCATTTACTTCTAAACTGGTCAAATCCCTTTGTGGAACATACACATCACGCAAACTATGGCTGCCCTTATTTGTCACTCAGTTCCATATCTCTTTGTGCATCAGGCCATGAGTCTGTAAACGTGGTCAAATGTGGAAAATTGAAAAGAGGGAGATGATCTGAGTTCTCAATGGGTACACACAAAAAAAGACCCAGAGTGGAGACTGTCTATGGCTGCCTACATTGCAGACAAATTGCTACAAAATGTTATGGACACGTGTTACAGAGGGATGCTGTGGAAGATTTCTCAAAACCTAGGGAACAAACAAAAGGAATCAATCTTTCAAAACTTGTTAAAGCGATTAATTCTTTGGGCATTTCATTTTCGATATGGAACGAAAAAAATGCTGATGGGTAAGAAAGCCAAGTAAAAGAGTTTAGTCGTCTTCTTGGTTCTCAAAAGAAACTACTGAATGGAGTTCCCTCAAATTAAGTGAAGTTCTCTATCCTGATACTTGTGAAACAGTGGAGCAAACCAGGACTGATTTTGAGTGTTTATATAATCAGATCTCTGATTTCATTTGTCCAAAACTGCTGCAAATGCCATTTTTGTACAGGTCTAAGAATGGGTTGAGCTATTTTGCTCATTAAAGGGAATGAGGCCTGGGTATACCAGACCTTGGGTAACTCCTTACATGTGCACACTCTGGTGTACCACATCCCCTTCTTTGTTAAAATACATGGCTGCTTCAAAAAATTCACTGGTTAAGGTGTGAAGAAAAACCACAAACAAAAAAAGGGTACCGTTCAACAAGTCTAACAAATGGGATGCAGCAATGGACATACTCTATACAGAGAGTAGGCAGTGGGATTTGAAACATCATGAGAGAATCAAAGGTCGGGATTCTTTAGTCGATGTCAGTGTTTTTCTAAAATAAAAACGGAAGCGTTTCCACGTGGTGTTTCGCATCAAAGGAACGTTCGTAGCGTCCCCCTCACCGTTGTATTTGTCGCAATGGATTACTCAAGTGAGGAATGCAGAGAGGAGTTGGCAAAGATGAAGGGAGAACTTAGGCTTAAAGAATGGGAGGTAAAGGGATATAGATTGCATGTGGCAAATGGAACGTTTCCTTAAAGCCTAAAGTTCATGTCAATACCGCACATAAAGAAAGAAGGTTAGAAAAGCACGAGAAGAAGCAGAAAGGATGGTACTGGGAGTGAAGATTGTGGCGTTAGAGAATGAAGGAGAAGAAAGAAGAATGAGATACGAGGACTTTAAAGAGGAAAGAAACCGTGGAAAGGTACTAAGAGAAGTAGAAAGAATTAGGAGAAAAGAAGCTACCTGTGTGAAGGATCAGAGGTTGAACCGTTGCATCGCGTAAAATTAACTTTTTTAAAATTAATGTGTGTTTAATATCTTTTAGTAATAAATGTGTTTGAACGTATGTCTGTCTAGTTTTGATTGACAAGCTGTCATAAAAAACCGTATATAAATCTATCACTTAAATTCCACGTGGTTCAGTGCAATTATGCCTTCCTTTCACGACTTGTCTTACGAATGTGGTCGATGTGAATCATATCTATTAGAGGACAAAATAGAATGGAAACACAGCAAAAAGGATTGAGAGCAGTGTATATACCAAAGTGGATACAAAAAGTCACAAAGAACATAGCGCTAGTCGACTTGAAAGGTGCCTAAATAGGTCACTTGGGGTAAAACGAGTGTGTATAAACCAGAAAAAGTATGGTTCCAATGTACATCATGTTGGCATTATACACCTTATAATCTAATTCATAGCGTGACATGTCAATGCCCTTTACGTCGACTGAATGACTGATGGATATTCCCTAAAAACTCTAGGAATAGAGAGTTTGAGAACAGGTCGTAGCAAGGACAGTAAAGCGAACACATCACGACCGACGTAAGCATTTTAAAGGATTGTGAATCATTGTATCAAAATAAAAATGTTTGATTTGTGTGCGCCTAAAAAACTGTGGTCCAAGAGAAATCATACGAAACATTTTGGGGTATGCCAACGTTCCCATCTGCCTAAAGAGATGCCATGAAATCATCTCTGCGACGTTTCATTACATGGAGGCACATTATTTTCTTTGATATTTACAAGCTGTCTTTGAAAAGAAAGTACCTATAATGATGGATCCCAACGACGCGATATCTAAACAAAGGTTTAGAAAAGCCTGCGAGGAATAAGAAGATGAGACGGTCAGAGAAGTCAATGAATGGTCAAATCCAATAGGAGGGCATGTGCAAGATTATGTTTAAACATTGGGAAGCCTTGGAGGATTTGGGTGCACGCCTAAGGTGGAATAATTTTTACGTGGATGCTGTGACCGAGGTGTTTCCTTCATTTTGCAATCCCTTGAGAAGTCATTCAGATGATGTGATAAGCGAGATGATGACTCTGACGTAAGTAGTCTAGGGCGCCTTCCTGCAGAATCCCGCAGAGCCTGGGTCCGAGTGACTCGGCCAGGAGATAATGTATTCATATGGCGTAGGTGTAAGAGGTTGAGGTCAGGGTTAGGGTTAGGGATTAGGGTTAGGTTTTAGGGGTTAGGGTTTAGGGTTAGGGTTTGGTAGCGTAGGTATAAAAGGTTAGGGTTAAATAAATTTGAAAAAATAACGGTTACAAAGAAATCCAAGATGGCGCCGGAAACAAAGACAACAAAGAAATCCAAGATGGCGGAGGGATTAATTACAGACACAATGAAGTCAATTTTTAAAAATCAAAACATTTATTATTTGACCATGCGCTTCACTAATGTTTACATTGATTTAATAAATGTTCTGTGTAATTATAAATGGAGTTCATGATTTGGTTCCTGTGTTGTTGAAAGGTGTCATCATGTTTAAATGCTTCATTAGCTGCAGTCTCTTTGGAATCTCTTATTCTATGATCGTAATTATGCGGAGTCATATAAGCTTTAGCATGTCGCATCATTCTTCTCAAAGATTCCTTATCGGCAAAAGAAATAATATCCAAAATACTTTCTAGTTCGATCACAGCTGCATTGGGATTATCCACAACGTAATGTCTTCTATTCTTCATTTGCACGTTACGTCACGCATAATTAAGAAAACCGGAAGTCGGCCATGTTGGACGATATGTAAGCGTGTTTTAGGGCACGGTCACAGTAGTGAATATGTAAGTTATCTAAGTTTGCCATGCCAACTCTATGTGCTGTAGTTGGTTGTGGCCACAACAATGTTCGCGACAAAGGAAAATACAGTTTTTTTCGAATTCCGAAAATTATAAGTCATAATGGTGAAGAAACAGAACGATTAAGCACTGAAAGAAGGAAACGATGGTTCAAGAATATTCACCGATCTGACAAAGATCTGACCGAGAAAAAAGCCGAAACAACCCGAGTTTGTAGCGCACATTTTGTTTCAGGTAAGTCAGATATTCCTGTAGAAGTTCTGGGCTTTGTTTAGCTATTAAAGTAACAAAAAACTCGGGTAAAATATTTCGCGCGAAACACTGTAAACATCAAATCACATGTGTTTGTTTAGGAAAGCCATCGGATCTTTACGATAAAAATAATGTGGATTGGGCTCCTACAGTAAATATGGGACATTCAAACATAAAGGACCCTGCTGCTGCCGCATCCCGAGGATCAAGAGCTGAGAAAAGGGCAAAAATATCGATCCAACCGGTCAAGAACAAGCGGGCTAAGAAGAAGTCTGAGGTGACAACTGAGTCAACTGACACAAGTTCAGCGAGCTCTCACGACTTTGACAACTACTTTCATGATATTCCACTCCAAGGTATTTATATTTAAAGTCATATGTTATTAATATGGTTCACTATTAATATTTCCAGTAGAATTTGTTCTTAAAAACCATTTTTCTATAGCTTGTTGGAGTGGGTATATAACTGGATGTCAATATTTTCTGTATATGAATTCTTATTCTAACATTTCTTATTTAATATTACAGAGTATGTTAGTCAAGACTCTGATTTAGACAAGGGATGTCAGTTTCATGTTGCTACACTAGAAGCATCTGTGCAGACCACAGAGACAATTATTGACCTACACAATAAAGACGAGTACACTCGCAACCTACAGTGNACAGATCTTTCTCGTAAGACATGGTGATTGAAATGAAACGTTAAAATGTTTGTAGAAGGTTATACTCGTAAAAAAGTGTCAATCAAAAAAGTGATTGACAAGCTGTCATAAATTCTAAAATGATATAAATTATACGTTTGCTACTCACTCGAATCATTTTTAGCGATGCCTTCTAAGAAAGAGTTAGCTTGTGAATGCGGCCATTGTCAGACTTGTCTATGGAAAGAAGAGATTTGGAAAGAAGCGCAATACAGAGTCGATATCAGAGCCTTTAGAAAAGCATATTTACCTAAGTGGATTGAAGACATTACAGAAAAGTTGGCTTTACTAAAAATTGAATGATGCCGCAACAATACATTTGGAATAATAAAGCCTTTGCCGGAAGATTGGCAGAAAGATGGTTCCAATGTACAAACTGTTGGCATTATACACCGTTTTATTGTAGTTATTGTCTGAGATGTCATTTACCTGTACGAATCGTGGAGAATGAAAAACCCATGGATATTCCTTAAAGCTAGCAAAAGACACAAATTCATCATTTCATGCCAAGCCAGTAAAGCAGTCACATCATCATGAGCAACGTGAGAATTTTGAACGATAGTGAATTACTTTACCAAAACAAGTACCTGTTTGATTTGGATGCGACTAAAAAAATAAGTGGACCTCGTGAACTCATATGTGGCATATTGGGATATTTCAACACTCCTTTATCGCCAAAGAGACGCTACGAGTTGATTTCTACCACGCGATATCCTATGAAAGTGTATTATTTCTTGCGGTATTTACAAGCCGTCTTTGAAAAGAAATTCCCTGACATCCACATGAAAGACCCTACCAGTAAATATCAATTCATGGATGCGTGTGAAAAAGTATTTGATGACATTGAGCGAGAAGTCAACGACTGGCCAAATCCTATCGGCGGCCACATGCAACTCTACATGTTTGAACTTTGGGGTACATTTCAGCAATTGGGAGAACTTTTAAGGAAAAATAATTTTTATATCGACGATGTGACAGAAGTCTTTGCCACGTTCCGTAATCCCATGTTAAGCCATGCTGAGGTCATGAGTGAACTGGTGACATTGACATGTGAAAAATATTCCCCAGAGTGGTTCAAAAAATCACTGGAATCGCAGCGGTTCATCAAAGACTGGTAAAAGTAGTTTCACAGGAACAAAGGGGTATCACATTCTAGATGGGTGTTGCATGTGTGTCGGTCTATGATTGGTTAGAAGCGTATGTATCAGAGAGAGTCAAACCACGAGTCGTCCTCTTTACCTTCAAGTCGAAGTACCTACACAGTCAGAGCAAGTTCTTCCCAAAAATGGCAGCAAAGAACTACGTCTAAAAACTGGAGCCAGAACATGTCATCGACTTACTCGATACGCTTCTAGATATACTAAAACGCGAGGATGACATTGATGAGAGGAAAATGCTAGCCTCGTTGGAGAAGGACCGTTTCAAAGAAAAAATGCCGGAGGTGGATGGAGATCACATCTATGTGGGGAAAACAAAAGAAGCCATCGCGGCGGTGAAGAAAGTCGTTCGTCACATCGTCGAGGAAAAGATTACGGAGAAAATGAAGCGTTTATAGGGGTGTAAGGACAAAAACAAAAAATAACATTTTAACGATGAGAAGTATGTTTACTTGTCATATCAAAATAGGAACGCTCTCACCCAGATGAAGAAATGATGTTTTCGGATTTTACTGTTACTGTGTTATTTTGATAGGATCGCTTTCACCCAGTTGCAGAAAAAAGTGTAATGTTTTCGGTTTTTACTTTCCATTACTTCAATAAATGTGTTTGACAGTACATGTGTGTAGTCATTTTATGGGAGGATGGAGTGTTGTAAAGACCTTTCAACACTGCCCTGTTTTTCAGGCAATTGTGCCAGAAACCCACTAAATCAAATCTTCAATTTTTCTTTCATTTTTGAAAGAAAGAATTCGTCAATCATTTTGCCTGAAAAACATTTTTCTTTTTTTTTAATGAGATAAAAAATGAAAAAAATCAGTTTTCAAAATTGCCCTGTTTTTCAGGGTATTTTTGTAAATGTGCCAGAAACCCCCTTTTCCTACTTCTCTTTGTCTTTCTGAGCAATCAAAACCTCTTGCTCTGGACCAGGTGATTTTTCAATTTCTTTTTAGAGACTTGGATTCAACCCCTGCTCATTTGTGCCTCTTCCTTCAGTAAACAAAGGATGTCTTCTTGCCTTGACCAAACATCTTCAGTTGCAATCTTCCTCTCTTACCATAAGAAACCTCAAGTTCTGAAGCTTTTGCCTCAGGAAAAATTACAGTAAGTGATTACCATGCATTCTCATTTGAAGTTAAAACTCGTGAACCAAAAATATCACCTTCAACAAAAGATGTCCCAGCAGTTTTTGAACCCTTTTCTTGTTCTCTGTTCATTGTTGTCATTGGAATTTCTTCACCTTAGGGCCCTGGAGTTGGATTCTCGTCTGGTTGAAATGCTGTCGTTGTGTCTTCTTCTTCTTCTTCATTATCATCATTATGTTCTAACAGAGGCTCAGTATCTCCAAAATCTGCCATTTTTTAAAATATCTTGTGTAAAAAATGGAAGTCAGTGAAAGAATTGGCCCATGTTTTGAAAAAAAAAGATGTCAAACGCTCTCAAGGCTGACCGTGTGTCCTTAGGGTTCAAGTTCCAAAGATTACTAATGGGGTAGGACTTGTGCCTGGATCGCTCGCACTCGTCTTCCACTTGACAGTCAGTGGGCACATAAACAATTTCCTCGTGAATGTAGCAAGAGCTCTTGATGATCAACTGACTTTGAAGTTTGCAGGAGAAATTGTGCAAGACACTCATGGTTATGATTTATTCAAGCTTTGGGAGGACCTCCTCTTGACTGAGAATGAGAGGGCAAACATGTTCAGAGAAGGTATTCGGTCTGAAGATCTTTCGAAAATCAGAAGGATACAACAAGACTTCGAGCGTTGATACGGAAAATACGAGTAATGCAGTTATTGGGAAATCATGATATTTTGAAGGATCATGGAGTCTTTTTTCCGAGAGCTCTTTCTGATGAGCTTCTCTTCAAGCTCAGGCTAGCACCTGCTGGTAGTGTTGTGAAGGGATCCGACCCAACAAAACTTTCTTATCAATTGACTGACATCCAGCTTGAGTATGAAGTCATTCACAGTCAAAAACTCGCTGATGAAGCCCTTTCTAACTACAAAAATGGACAGAGATTCATGTATGAGCATATCACTCATCAAGACAATCTCAATATATAAAGGTTCCGACACAATCATCAATGAGAGTATCAATGTTCCAAGGAGGTCTATGAAGGGGCTTCTTCTCTTTTACGAGACATACAGCAGGAACAAGATATAGTGA